CAAAAAAAAAAAAAAAAAAAAAATTGGCCGGGCATGGTAGCACACACCTGTAATCCCAGCTACTCAGGAAGCTGAGACAGGAGAATCGCTTGAACCTGGGAGGAGGAAGTTGCAGTGAGACAAGATCACGCCATTGCACTCCAGCCTGGGCAACAGAGTGACACTCTGTCTCAAAAAATATATATATTTATCATTTACAATCACCTTCTTTGCCATTTTATTATCAAAATAATAAAAAAAAATTTTTTTAAGTGGAAAGAGAGGGGCAGAAGAGTCAGTGGCAGAATGATACAGCATTAGGAAAACTTGACTAGCCATTGCTAATTTTGAAGGTGGAAGAAGATCTTTATCCAAGGAATGTAGGTGGCCTGCAGAAGCTAGAAAAGGCAAGGAAATGGATTTTCCCTTAGAGCTCCCAGAAAGTCCTGCCAACACATTAATTTATTTAGTAGAGATCCTAGCACTTTGGGAGGCTGCCATGGGGGTCTTGCCATGTTTCCCAGGCTGGTCTTGAACTCCTGTCCTCAAAGGATCCTCCCACCTCAAAAGGATTCTAAAGTTTGTAATTGCCCAGTGGATTCACCTTGCCCGCTGCCTAAACAGAGCCAATTTATTAAGACAGGGGAATCGCAATAGAGAAAGAGTAATTCATGTAGAGCAGAGCAGGCTGTGCAGGAGACGAGTTTTATGATTACTCAAATTAGTCTCCCTGAGCATTCAGGGATCAGAGTTTGTAAGGACAACTTGGTGAGTGTGGGGTGGGAAGCCAGGGAGCCAGAAGTGCTGATCGCTTAGGTAGGAGAGGAAATCATAGGGAATTGAAGCAGTCCTCCTGTACTGAGTCAGTTCCTGGGTGGGGGCCACAAGATCAGATGAGCCAGTTAATCGATCTTAGTAGTACCAGCTGATACATCAAGTTTAGGATCTGCAAAATATCTCAAGTACTGATGTTAGGAATGAATAAAGTCCTTTATGCCTCTGAGCTCCAGCCCTCCTTGTTCCATGTTAGGCCAGATTAACTCTAGTTCCTGACATATGTCACAGTTAGCTCAGGGGGAAAAAAGCCCTTACAAATAATACAGATAAAAATTCTATTCCCCACACAAAGGAAAAAATAATTAGACTAGGCACAGTGGATCATGCTGTAATCCCAGCACTTTGGGAGGCCAAGGTGAGTGGATCACCTCGGCTCAGGAGTTCAAGACCAGCCTGGTCAACATGGTGATGGTGAAACCCTATCTCTACTAAAAATACAAAAAAAAATAGCTGGGTGCAGTGGCGTGTGCCTGTAATCCCAGCTCTTAGCAGGCCGAGGCAGGAGAATGGCTTGAACCCAGGAGGTGGACGTTGCAGTGGGCCAAGATCACGCCTCTGCCCTCCAGCATGGGCGACAGACTGAGACTTTGATTCAAAAAAAAAAAGAAAGGTAACAGCAACAAAAAGTTAGACCAGACTCTATACATGTTTGTCTTGAAGAAGGGTACAAGTGAGATTTCCCTTCCAGCAAAAATGAGCTTAAAGTGCACTTGAGATCTCAGTACATGTTTGATGTGGGTCATTTTCTCAAAAAAATAAATATCCAAGTTTCTTGGGCAGAGATTTTATATAAGGCTGACATTTTCTTTAAAAGTTACTTTTGTGGCCGGGCGCGGTGGCTCACACCTATAATCCCAGCACTTTGGGAGGCCGAGGCGGGTGGATCACGAGGTCAAGA